CTGACAACAGAATCATGGCCCCACCAAAAATATTTTGGTTGCCATGAAGATCTTTCAACTTTCTGTCCAGTGCCTCCAGTGACCTTTTAAGAGCCATTGCGCATTTATCCCAAACAATCAATTTGCATACCTGTAGGATCTTGGCCATTGCGCTATTTTTGGCGATGTTGCAAATTTGTGTTTCGGTGATTTGCATGTTAAATGGTAATTTCAAGGCAGAATGTGCAGTTCGCCCGCCTTCTAGCAGAGTCGCTGCTATTCCAGATGAAGCCAACGCTAGAGCAACATCATTCCGCAATCTGATCCTCGCCAAAAGCAATGAAATTAAAAGAGATTTGCCGGTTCCTCCGGGAGCATCAAGGAAATAAATTCCAACAGATCCACTGTTCACAGCTTCTAACAAAGTGTCGTACGCAATTCGTTGTTGTTGATTTAATTGTGGAACATTTGTAAGAACTGTTTCGACGAATGCTTCAATGTCGTACTGTTGTTCTCTGTGCAACTCATGGTTTAATGTATCGTGCATATGACGATCGGGTGCTGTCATTCCCAAACACGACAATACTTTATTTGCGATCAATAAACACATATCTTCTATCATGATCAATGTCTCATTGTAAATTTCTTCAGTCATTTGTAGTGTAGGATTCAAAGTTTGACGGCGCACACGATGCAAAACATCCTCAGACATGTCATCTCTATACTTAATCCACAAATCTTTTGGATTCGAAGGGGAAACATGTCGATATGATAATCACAAACAATGTACAAATTTGATTTGGGGATGAAGATATTACGGAATCCTTGAGCGTATCATCCCAGTGCGAATCGTTCTCAAGTAAATGTAATAGTTGACATGCCTCACGGTAAGTCGTACACAGCTGTCCATTAACTGCTCTCAGTTGTTTAAACGATGTCCGACCACGAACATTCACCACCAACAACCGCAAATAATAACATTCATCGTTATTTGGATGTACTGTGTAGATGCGACCCAGAGCGTCTGAAGCAAATACATTTGGATGTCCTTCAAGTTGTGTTCCTTGTTTTCGACGCTGAAACGATTTCGATGATGCGTTCCATGTGTAATAGCGTAGCATGTCAGCATACAGCAAAGTGCAAGCAAAATCATCAGTTTGATAGACTGTGAAGAAACTTGTTAATGTTGTCGACGGTGGATGTGCCGCCCTGTCTGCCGCATTAGATTCATTAAAATAAACTTGTTGACCATTTTCTAAATGGACTGCCAAATGGACTACTGTAGGGTGTCTTTCATGGATCGCAAATGAAAAGATACGCCAAATTGCTTCGTTGCTACTTACATAGCGACCCATCTGGTACTGTGATATTTCATCATTTGCATTGGTTACACCAAAGACAGCCATATCACTACCTTTTTTTACATATTTACATATGTACTTTATCGACTTCACAGAGTTACAATATTCCACATTGATGCGAGTCAAAAGCTTTGGACAATATTGGTGAGTGTGGCACAATCCAACGATTGTCTACATCAACATTTTGTCCTCTTACCTTCACAACTACTGATCGCCCATTGTCCGCAACTGATCGCCGACGATACAATGGGTATCCATGATTTCCCGTTATGGTTTCAGCAAGCAGGTCTCTTGGGTATCGCTTGGAACACTTGCCGTCAACCATACAGGGTGAATTATAGTTGAAAAGTCCGCAAGGTCCATGTATCATGTGTTTGGTATCTACTGCATGCTATTTTGGGTCAACTATTTCATCTGGAGTTTCAGCTGAAATTATGGAATCAATCTCATCTGGCCTTATTTTGTCCACTAACCAGACTAAAATGTGCGCATGTGGCAATCCATGCTTTTGCCATTCTACTCCGCTATGGCAGAGTATATCCAACAATGTACTCTGCCATACACACAATGCTTTATTAAGAAATTCATGAGAGATTTTAATTTTTGTTTAAAAACTCTGGCAGTTGTCATGTCTACCAACTGGTGTTTGGCTATGTAGTAATTCCCTATCGATTTCGGACCATTTTGGGTTACATGTAAATGTAACAAATGTCTGGGCGGCCATAATGCCTAACATATGACATAGCATATTCATGCATGTGGCGTGGGCTTCCTATATAAGTGGCTGGCAAAATTGTCATTCTTCCTACATTAATTCACATTGCCATCGGCATTCATAGCATCGCAGAGATGAATGTATTCCTCTTGATCTAGCGTCAGTGGTTCAAACGGATGTATGTCAATCGATTTCAGTTCTCAATTTTGACATACTTGTCAACTGGCAAACTGATGAAAAGTCTTAGATACATTCAAAAATAAGACTTTACTTTCACCTTCACGGATCATAGTCTGTAGAAATTCATAGCACTAACTTTTTTGTTTGCGTTTCAGTACCTGCAATCAAAAATGACAAATGTTTAAATGTTACTTAGATGAATTGGAGTTAAAATATTATTTAACTTGTTCAATTTATTTAACCTGTTACTTGATTTTACCATTTTGATATTTTAAATGATCTATCCATATTCCCCCTGCCAGAAGATCAAAAGGATGTTATCATAACTCCTGTGTGTTTCAGATTACACATTGTTAAATCACCCCTATTACCGAGATGAAGCACAATATCTCTCAGATTGTAAATTTTCTCCCACAATACAACAGTCACTTCATCAATAGTAGCGGAATTAAACCTCCTGATGTGGTAGCGTTTGTCAGCTCGAATGATAATATTATGATCTATCAAGATGGCATCCGGATCCCACATGCTATTTTGAACATGTTTACTAATTGTTATTCTGATGAAGGAAACATTTGTAAATTCTTGGACCAATGTTTCTTCACTGTTGGATTGTGGGCACAACGATTATCCAATTTCCGCATGCTGGAATTGTCCCATAAAAGTATATTTTGTTTAAAAAAATTGATGATCTGATCAGGTAGTGGGTACAGTGTCCCGTAAGTGTGGATAAATTTGTCCTGTGTATCTGTAATTTTTAAATATTTGTCATTAATTATTTCCGATATATATTTTAGTACAAACTGCAATATTTATAAAAAAATATTCTGGTATTAATACCTGAAATGGGCATTGAAATTGTCCTGTACAATATGCAGTAGCGCAATTGCATGTACATCTGGAAACAGCTGCTTATATTCTGATTGTTGGCCAAGAAGTGCTTAGAATCCATCCAATCCCAGAAACCTAAAGGTCGGAAAGGATCTGGTGGTGGGACCAATTGTGGCAATTTTACTATTGCCTCCAGACAGACATAAATCCAGTAGATTCACCAGTGTTTTTTAACACACTTACAATATTTTCAAATTATTTTCATTTCCCCAATTGTTACCGATTTGTCGCGCACAATAATCAATTGCCGGATCATAGTGGTGAATGCAGTTGTTCAAGAATCACAGGAGCACTGCGTTCTGCGGATTCGCTCATTTTCATTATGCCTAGCTTGCCGTTGTTGTGTTTATGGCCGAACTCGTTGCATTCTAAACCTATCTACACATTGTCACCACTAAATGAACGGCAATTCTACTTAGCAATCACGACTATTTCCTTGATCTGTCTCTCTCTGCTCATCAGTGCGCGTTAGCCATGTGAGTAGCTCTTTGCACATTTGATTGACTGCGACGACGAAGTCAGGTGTCTTCCCCTCGCATGTAAATTGAGAAAAAAATATCGCCTCATTTAGCAGTAAAGGTCACTATCACCAAAATAACACACACACACATTAGATTCTTCCAACGGACACGCGGAATTGAACATTATGCATTTTCAAAAATGACCATTTCAAAAACAGACAAGATAAATCTGTTCAGTCTTCTTCAAGTTATCGATAGTAGAGTTCTCGAAATCTGACAGAGTAACCTTTTATTACGGAATGGAAAAGAGGTTCCCCGGTGCATTTCAACCCAGCCGTGACGAACGGGGATACTTTTGGCTTGACCCAGAGGCACGCGTCAGCTCTTAATCTATCACTTGCTGATAGATGCAGCCGCGTGTGCTCCGATTCTTCATGCATCGAAGCTTCCGGCCTACCGCTATCAGGCAGGGATGTGCTGATGAAGAACGGTCTCTGCGCAAGGAAGAGCGAGCGTGGGTCCTCTGATTATTTCTTGCTTTTACAGTGCACCGCAGCTCGTGAGAAAAGGGCTGTTTTGAGGGTTTTCCACCCGGGCAATTATTTCGAATTTTTCTGAACTTTTAAACCTTCCCTATTACCTTCACGAACATTTCAAAACAAAGATAAGATAAAATCCGTTCAGCCGTTCTCAAGTTATTAGCTGAGACTAACGAAACAGCAATCATTTTTTTGGAATATTGGCGTGGAAAACCTGAAAAAATTGAAATTAAAAATAAAATAATGCATTACCATTTTGCCTTTCCGAACTTGTATTGTGACTATAAATCTATATATATATCTATATGTATATAATATATTATATTATCTTATATATATATAGTATATATAATCTATAATATATATATATATATAGATATATTTATATATATATATATATTATATATATATATATATATATATATTATATATATCTATAAAATCTATATATATATATTATATATATATATATATATATATATATATATATATAGATTTATAGATTATTGGTCACTACAGTTCGGAAAGGCAAAATGTAATGGCATTATTTTATTTTTAATTTTCAATTTAGCAACTTATAAACACTACAAACAATCCAATGTTAAGGGGTGTTTTGTTAACTGTTAATAAACAATTCAGTGATTATTTCTAAACCCAAAAAAAAGCATGAAGACAAGTTAACAAGAAAGAGTAATGTAACAACTTTTTCATATAAATGACCTAGAGATTTGAGATGTGTCAAAAATCAATGAAGATTTGCAAGCATACTGTGATTCTCATAAAAATAACCTGTTTGTGAATATGTAATCACGGAAGTGGCACAAAAGTATGAATGATTGAACGAATTGGTGCATTTAAAATTCTTCTTTCTTACCAAGAAAATACCATAAAGAGCTCTAATGCTGCTTGGATTTAATTTGAATGCCAAACTGTAGTGAGCTCTGGCCAGCTCAATATTTTCAAATCCTCCCTGAAAGAAAACATACTTTTACAGTACAACTCTATATCTCATCTGATATTAAAAGCATAATGTTAAAATATCATAATATTTTAATTATCATACCTGAGTGTATCTAATATCTGCATATCGCTGATGAATTAGATGATTATGTGGATTGTGCAATATCAATTCTTCCATGCAAAATGCAGCACGAGCATAGTCTTGTTCCAACAGATATAAATCACATAATTCTTGCCATCCTTCTTGATCACTCATAAATCTACCATAAAACAAAAATGCATGTACTAAATAGTAATCATTTTGATGATTCTAAACTTGGGAAGAAAACAAAGTAAGTCAAATATTCTCTATTAAACAATTTTGTACACAAACTTTGTTTACATGATTTACTTCCAAATATGGTTTAATAGGTTTTGTTTCAAATACTTTTAAGTTCATCAATGCAAGTCGTCCTTCTGTCTCCTGGTCATCCGAGAATTTCACACAGAAGAAACATTGACTAAATAAGAGAACACGTTAAGGAAATTGTTTAAACCGGTTCTTCGTGCTGCACAGGCAAAGGGGGAACTGCATTGTGCAGATGATGAGGGAAATCTTTAGTGAGAAGGGGTAGTGAACAATGGACACAACATGATACATAATTATAATAAGTAAGGTGTAGGTGATAAAGAAAAATTTAAATCTGAAATTACTAAAAAAATTACAATTCTTTGTGATTGGTTACTTTCTTTATTATGTCACATCCTTGTGCCTCATCAAAGCACCATCACTATTCTGTCGGTTGCAGCAAAAGGTGCATACCAGCAATTTCAGTGTTTTAGTGTGTGTGTGTGTGTGTGTGTGTGTGTGTGTGTGTGTGTGTGTGTGTGTGTGCGTGCGTGTGAAGGATGGGGTAGCTGTCTCAGTGGTTAGTAATGTTTCTGTGATTTTTTAAATTTTTTGTTTAATTGTTGAATATGTTACGGTGGTGAGAATAAACATGGTTATATGCATGATGCCACAAGGAGTGTTTGACTGTGTTAAAGCAGATTCAAAACCATGGATTGCTTGTGAAAGGGTTTATGTGAACGATGTGCAAGTGTCCTACAAGGTTGGCCAAGTGAAAGGAATTGAGTGATAGGATTGAGTGGAAGTGTAGAAAGAAAGAGGCTATTTTATGTGTCGAAAAGGGGGAATAATTTTATGTGTAGAAATATGAAAGATTTTCCCCTATCCTTGGGGACATCTCAAACTCGTACTAAACATGAAGAAATCACACTAGGCTAAAATTTATTCATGTGTTTCAGTGTGCTTTTCCCAATGTTAGAGGAGGGGCACAAGGACAGATCTCCTTAGGCTTTGGAGAGAAGTTAATAAACGGAAGAGTCGGGATGTAGTTAATTTGTGGAAAACTCTTTTGGGCAAAAATATCTTCAAATTAAGTAATGAAAGTATGTAGTTGTGAAGCAATCTGTGTATTCATGCAAAGCAGTAGTTCTTAAAAATGTCTGTTTGTATATTTGGGGAAAAAAAGAAGGAAAAAAAAAATCCTTTGTAAAGCTTTGTAAAAATCCTACTTCCTTCGATTCCCTGCTCCCCCTTCTCCTGTTTGTTTGTCTAGGGTGTTGTGTTTGCTTCTTTAATCAAAATATTTTAGAAATTACATTCATAACAAAAACACTAAAAAAGCCAACAACTTCGCCTGCCTTTCACCAAAGAGGTCCAAGTACAATTCCTAGATAATCTAATGTGAAATTTTTTCTCGCAAAAAGAGTTTGACTGCTTCATAGGGCTAGTCTAACCCCTGTAAAGTGTCCTAAACCCTTCACTATCCTCATTCTTTCCCAATTCCGACTGCTGGGTATTGAGACAAGGATGAGTGTACGGACGTGCATACCGGAAATGCTACTTAAGGGTCCTCTTGACATCTGACTTCTCTCACAGATACCCTAATGTTAAAATCAATAATGCAGTCACCGATGACCATACAGTTAAAGCGAAATAAAATAAAGTTTAAAAAATTGAAAACACAGAAAATGCAAAATTACAACATAAAAGAACAAATGAAACTATGAAATTTCCCTTACAAGATCTTGCGAATATTCTTACTTTTTTAAATAATCTGTCAGTTCCTTGATTGCTTCAGAATGCTTCCCCTTTGCTCTCAGGATGGCCACTCTGCGTTTCCTAGGTGCTGCATTTGTCTCATCTCTCTTGATAATGGAGTCTAGAAGCTCCAGAGCTTCATCATATCTAGGTGGGGAAAAAAGAATTAAGTTTGCCCAGATTTAAAAACCAGAATCACATGCAAATACGGAATAACTTGAACAAACTTTTCTAATGTTTCGAGTTTCAGTGCTTGAAGTTTACGAACACGTAAACTACTGGGAAATTCTGCAGCAAGAGATTGCAAGCATTTATCAGCTATATCAAGGCGATTAGTGTCTAAAGAGGCAAGACACACCTGTTCAAGCACAAGGAGCCCTGAAACAAAAAAGAAAAAACAGAAATGAAAGAGAACATAAAAAATATCACACCATTACAAAACACTCCACTTCCATATCACAAAAACCACTCACCCATGAAAGTGTTCTTGCACAAATGCATTCTCACACAAAATGAACAATGACAACTTTTATATAATGATTATTATTTCTTAATTTTTACAAAGCTTTGTACTAGAAAACACAAACAAAGGGAAGATTTTTTGATTTTTCAAATATACTAACAGAATTATTTTTATGAACTTCTGCTTTGCAAGACTACACAGATTGCTTCACAACTACATACTTACTTTCATCACCTAATTTGAAGATATTTTTGCTCAAAATAGTCTCCCACAAATTAACTACATCCTGACTCTTCCGTTCGTTATCTTCTCTCCAAAGCCTAAGGAGATCTCGAGCATCTGAAATTATCCCACATCAAAGAAATTAATATTTAGAAAGAAAATATAAATATTGTAATTCTATTGCTTTTTGCACCCATAAAGATGTTTGAGTATTAACATGTGCCAACATAATTTCAGTTGTCTTAGTGAGAGTTACAGATTCTCAAGTCTAATAGGTAAATTTATTAAAAATTAAACACAAATTGGAATTTCAAAAATGTCTCAAATACTTGGTCCATTCGCTACCTACCTGACCAACTCATTCCTTCGAAAATAGCAGAGGTAGATTTTCTCGAGCCCCTAATTCTTGAACTCTCAATTTACGAGCCAAGAACACAATTTCCACTGCAATGAAAAGAATGCCCGATTACAAAACGTTTGAAAATGAAACTGATTTCTCAATTTTCTTAATCCTAATTAGTTCCGACAGCAGTGCTTTTCAATTTTACTTTCCTAAACCTCTTTACACCATCCTAACTTAACAGTGAAACACATTCTTACACTCACATCCTATTCCAAGTTATTAGGTGGTTAACAGTCAGCTCAGAACGGGGTCATAATTGGTCAGAATTGCAATGACTATGACAGCCACGATCAGTCCACGATTGTTCGCAGTTCGTTCAGAACCGGTTCATGAGAACCGAAATCGTCTCTCCGAACGAGGTGTACGAGGAGAGGTATATCTCTACTCTATGCACATACGAAATTATTCCACCATATGTAAAAAACGAATTGAGCATTGTTGCGTGATTTCCACCATGGTGGCAACGTACGTGAAAAGATGGTACCCGTAGCATCCGATCCTTCGTGTTATAAATATACTTGGACCTTGTACTTTCCCGCTCCTGCTCAGGCTGTATATAGGAAATATTGTAATGCTGCGAAACAAAACAGCGAATTTTAAACAGAAAAACTCTTATTGGCGGGCCCCGATACCGAAAGAGAAGTGGATAAATCATATCCCTATATGATATAGTAAATTACTTCCTCTAACACGTGTCGTCAGAATCCGTTTTATGGGTTCTTGATACCAAGAAATCGATTGACGGCAAAATGTCTGTCCGTCCACCCATCTTCGCAACACTAGCGCCTAAACCGTTCAGTCAATTTTCCCTAAATAGATATTCCCCAATCGATCCGGCTGATGTCGCGGAATTTGAAATTGAAATTTTTACTAAGGAGGATACATAACATATGGCCCCTCAGACATTTTCATCTTTTAAAATAATAAATTATTTTTTAAAATTGTATTTAATCAGATGAGTGAGATTACCATTTCACAGGTGAGTTTAATATGTTCAAAATGTAAAAAACTAAACAAAGAAAACTGGCACCATTTTTTAAAAAACTTGGTTGTATATCGCGATGGACGTTTAAGAGAATGATCCAGATTTCATTTTCATTCAAATTAGTGATTTTTTTAAATTGCAAAAATTCAAAAATTATTTGACATCTTCCTACGACTAAAACATTCAAAAGAGAGATTTTTTCCTTAATGAAATCTGTTCCTTGAAGACATTGAAATAAGGTCATTTTTCGAAAATATGAGTAGTTTTCGTGTAAATTTGTGCGGAACATAGGTAATTAAAAACTTTAACAACTTTTTTCAAAAATTGCTGTTTTTTTCTTTAAAGTTTCTCCTCATATTTAATAAGGGACGATAAAAAATATAGTGCTAGTCCTATTTTCAGCTAGCTGGTTTCCCCCCAAAATTACAAAAGGTTAATATTTCAAAACTACAAAATTGAAGATAGAGATTTTTGCCTCAGACAAAGCCAGTTGTACAAGATCATCTTTAAAAAATATCAGGTACAATTTGTTGAAACAATGCTTAATTTTTTCGCTTAATTTGCGCTTGAAATGTACACAATTTCTAAAAAAAGTTATTTTCAAAAACCGTTCCTAATTTTTTCAGGGATAGAAACAGGAACGCTTAAGAGAATGGTAAAAGTCTAATTTTCTTTGAACTCTATGTATTTTTGAAAATTGCAAAAACTTAGCATTGGAAATCACAAAATGGGAGATAGAGTTTTTATGTTAAACAAAAATGTTCTAAAACATCAGCTCATTCCCAGGTCTAATGACAAAGGGCCTAGCGAAGTAAGTCCAATGACACTAAGTCTAAGGAAAGTGGTCGAATACATTTGGTCTAATATTACGTAACTCTGATCATAATCTAGTCCAATGTTTCGATATCAAATATTAAAGCAAGTTTAAAAATGAAACGAGAAACACTGATGAAACCTGAATAAGGAATTCCATTTTATTTGCGATGTCATCCTCAAACTTTTCACAGTACAAGAACAATTTCAAAACTACTGCTCATCGGCATCATCCAGCTGTTCATCATACAACTGTTCGGAGTTTCAATCATTAACTCGAGGCCCTGAGGCCCCAAGACGAATATGTCCTTGCTCCTTGCTTGCTCTTCGTATTGCTCATATCTATCTACCATTTCCTCTACCTTGCGAAGATTCACCTGATAGCTTTTCTAGATCGAACGCTTGCATGGCCTGTCATTAATTGTTTGTATGAGAATTTCGTTATCTTGTTGGTCTGGTAGTTCCAGTAGTAGGCCTGGAATGGTAGTTCCATGAGTTACCATATTTCGACCTTTACAGTTGTGTTTTCCTGGATGTTGTAATCCTCCCGAAGACTTTTATTGGCAACTTCCCTCAAAATTGACTGTGTCCAGTGAAAAAGATATCCTTCAATTGAAGTTCCGGGGAAAGATGCTCTGAAATCATTAATTGCAACAATTTCAAAGCCACTGAGTGTCATCTGCGGATGTAAGGTGTATCCGAATGTCATACTCGTGCTTTTTATGCTTATTTCCCGCATCATTGAACGTTATCTCCTTTTTTACTGTTGCACATGCAATACTTCAACGGAAACTCGCGGTTTTGAACGAATCACTGAAAGGTGTATAACTGAATGAAACAGTTTTTTGGACAGCTTTGAAAGTGCCATCTGATACTATCAGAGAACTCTGTAAAAGAAGTTGCTGTGCTTCGTCTGTTGCAAATGTAACAATTCTATCATAGTTCCCACGGCGAAAGTCAAATCTGAGAAACTGCTGGCCCGTCAGCGTCACATTTCTATCACGAAGATTTCGTGATATTTGTAGTTCTCAAAAGCGCCAACCTTTCGGGCATGAGTGTGATTGTTTCTTCGCTTCTTACTTTTCCTATTTCGTCTCGATGATGGTATAAGGTTTGGTGAATGTAAGGCCCGATGTCGGATGTTTTCTTCAACATTCTTATTAACATTCATCATTGAACTCGCATTGCTATGTTTTGAACCAACTTCTCTTTGACCCCTCTCCACTTGAACACAGTTGTGCGTTCCTACTTGTTTGCTTTAGACTTCGGTTAACTTTGACTCCTTTGTTTCTGGACCTTCTGACTTAGAACCTATTCTATTGATATTTTCCATACGTTTTAAACAATTATTGATAAAAAGGGAGTCATATCTGGAGCAGACATCTCAAGCTCAATTCAACACGATTTAAATGCTTCCTTTGGACGAATGGTTTTGGGAGTTTTAACCCTTATCCGGGCAATCGGGGTCCATTGGACCCACAAGCAAACGTTCCATTATTTTACGTGAAAACTATCAAAGGTATTACGATAGTTTTTTGTGACTTTGTTGGCAATATTGTTTTCTAAATGTGCCTGCAACCATTTTGCAAAAGCATCACTGAATAATAAATTTTTAAAAAAATTATATTTTTTTAGACGCAACCGGACAAACGGTATCCATTGGACCCAGGTGTCTTAATCTACTTGTAATAGCGTATATTCTGGTTTTGTTTGGTTGATTATTTGACAACAGCTGTGCGTGCAAGGGACGGACGGATGTCGGGTTATGCAACGTCTTTTCATCGGGATGTTATCTGACACTACGTGTGATAATGCGATTCTGAGAACGACGCCTTCCGATGTATAGACATTGTTGCAGCGGATTAGTGTGTAGCCAAGAGTTAAGAGAGTGAGGTTTTGTAGTCGTGTGCTGTCCAGGTTTTGTGGAAAAACTGCAAAGCAACAGGTATATTTGTTTTTATTTTATATTTTATTTCGCGGTCTTCTTTACTGGCAGATAATGTAAAGTTTCATTTCGTGTTTCAAACTATCCACACAAACGTTTTACTTACAATATAATTTTGTATCTGTAGGCAATGTCCCGACGTAGAGGTCTGTCACCTTCTGAAATTCGGAGAGCAGTAGAACAAATTTCGGAAAACGCGGACGATTTATTGCCAACAGATAATGATGAAGAGAGTGATAGTGAAGTAGATTTTGAAAGTTTAGCGCCAGAGGCCAGTGATGAACATGAGGAAACTGATGAATCTGATTCAGAAAGAGTCAACCACGTGGACAAAAGAATTAAGGAGACTCCTTGTCAGTGAATAATTTGTCACATGTTATCATATTCATGTGTTATATGGTTTCAGTTAGTGCTTCCACTATGACGTCCTACAGCCCAGGGCTGCTCTTTCCATTCTTTTCCAAATAAAGGCATACCGTTTAGTGGGTAAAATGTTTCAGAGTCGCAATGCCCACAGACTTTCATCCCAATATTTATCAGGCTTTAGAAGGGTTATTTATTGTTTGAATGGGCATCTTCCCTCTGAATCCTAATTAGTTGCTTCATCTACGGTAATGTTGGTACCAGGGAAGTAATACTTTCTATAATTTGATTTATCTTCTCCCAAATGTTTTCTATATGGTGCCAGAATTTGTCTTTTTTGGCCGTCTATTGAACGAAGTAGTTTTGTCGTCAAACGAATAAATGCAAATATCTTTGAATCGCTTTTATTAGTCCAATTTGCTCTATATACGGCGGACACTATTCCACAAAGTGGTCATAATGGAATGGTTGCTCTTTAGGTCGGCTGCATCTATATGATCTATAATGAAAGCATACAATCTACGCTTTGTCACAATCATCTTCAATGCTGAAGGTCTTTTTTTTCTTTGTATACTCGTTGAAAACTTCTGCAATTCGGTAGCGAACAATTTCTGCCACATTGATTTATCCATGTGAAGCACTGAATTGCATCCCACGGACATTCTAACATGCACTAGCTGGCAACCATAAACTTATTTATGGACCCCCGTACTATATTATGACGTTCGTGCTCTGCCTGTATGAGTCGGCTCAGCGAACCATCCTGGTGCCATCTTTACCATGATACCCCGCAGTTTACAACTGTTTCAGCCCATTTTCATATAATAT